AGGGTGGACGGACGGCGCAGGAGGGGAAGACCCTCTATGAGATGGATTGATTCGGTGACTGGGGTAATCGGGATGGGTGTGTCGGAGGCAGTGCAATTGGCACAGGATAGAGCAGGGTGTAGGGCTGTTGTGCATAGGGTCGCTATGAGTCGCAAATGACTCGACGGCACATAACAACAACAACAACAGTCAAGGTAACTCCAGAAATGTTCAGGCCCCTCAGCCTGAGCCTTTTAACTCCAGGCCATTGTTCCCAAGTTCTCAGTTCTGTAAATATTGATTCTACTTTTAATTGCCCAACAGAGTTCTCTGTTCTGCCAGTATTGGCTCATCCTCAGTTGTCCAGCACAGTTCTCATTCCTGCCAATATTGCTCCCTCCTCTTTTCCCAGTCTTTTCATCTCACATCAGTTTCCATTTTGACCATGGCTACTCTTTTCTTGGTGGTGAGATTCTTCACTGATGGTGGCAGGTTTCTTTTTTCTTCACTAGGAGGAGAGGATCTGTCTGTTTTTCTCTCACTCTGGCTTGCTCAATTCAGTGGCAAGACTAACCAGTCCCCTTGTGGAATGGTAGATAGCCATTCCCATTGTGGATAGGCTAACACACCCCTCAGTCCAATAATCATGCCTGTCCTCATGATTAGATCACATTCAGATGGCTAGTAAAGCCATAATGAAAGATAAACTCCACATATGTTCATTAATAATATAATGCATGTCACTATATTTTTAAAAATACCTAAGCAGCGTATTATTGGTGAGTTTAGTTGAGAAGTTGACATTTAGAGGTGCTTTGGTAGGATAAGCCCACAGAAAAAGGTCAGTTTTGTGTAAGTTTTTTGTTGTAAACATGGATTGACAAAGCGAAAGTAAGTCATGCATGCTCTTTGGTAATCATTTGTTTTCCCTTTCATTAAGCTGATGTTTTCAATTGTTTTTGTTTTTAATGTTGAAACAGTTTGGTGGGATTTTTTTGTTTTTGTTTTTTTAAAGTAATATAATGATGGAGAGCAGAGCAAAATCAAACCAGATATTTCCATCATGTTGGATGTTTAACATGAGCTGTTTTTAGACGCAGATGTGGTGGTGGTGGTAGTGGTGTGACTTGATCCTTTCTAATTTTATCTTTTCTGTTTATTCTTTCCCATCAGTGCCTGCAATATCTTGATGTTTCGGTGCTGGGTGAGCTAGTTCCTAGGTTATGTGAGCTGATCAGGAGTGGTGTAGGCCTAGGAACTAAGGTAAGTAAGTGTATTTTTTACAAGACAGTGTATCTTTGTTAAATTTGGCCGCAAAAATGTACTGTTCATACTTTTCCTCATAACCTAATTTTATTATTTAACTATTTGTTTTTATGGTTGCGCTAGTAAAAGGTAACTCATTCAGAAAATAAAACATGTAACTTGTTTGGTGAACTTACTCAGCTTTTGCAGTGGAGTCGTTTCTGTTGTAGCTGTGCATGTGTTCTTTAGTTCTTCATTTTCAGTTAAATGAAAGTGCTCATCTAGGTGGCGATTATTGTTTTTCATACAGAACTTCAGTGAGTGTTTAGATAAAAATGTCTTTACAAGATCTTTCAACTTTCAAACTCTTTTTTTTTCTTGAAGATGTTTTAAAAATTTTTTATTATCCTCCTTTTATTAAGAAAATGCTTCCCTACTTTTTAAAAGAAGCTGCTTATTTTAAAATTAGCATATGGTAAACAGTGTTAGCATTTATAGCCAGAAGAAAATGTAAAAAAGAATTATTATTCATAATTTTACCACCCAAATAATTATGGATAACATTTTAGAATGTTCTTTCTAGTTTGTTTTCTGTTTCTTTCTGCAGTAGCTGCATGATACTTCAGAATGGATGTGTAACATTATTTTAATCCATCAATGCCTCTCTAATTCCCCCACCCCACCCTGGTTTTTTGATAGTAAACATAGCACTGTGATGAATATTTGGGAAAGCATTAAAACTATTTGTTAAGTGTCTAGAAGTTGAAACAAGATGATATGTTGCCCTTCTGAGAGACTACTTGGTTTTTATTTTTTGTCTTGTATAAAGGTACCCATCTCCTATTGGACCTCAGCAGAGAAAAATATCTTTACATTGCTAATCTAAAGGAAAGGTTTTTCTCTTTCTAGAATGAATCCTGGAGTAACTGTTAGGCTTCATGTATTTCTATCTTTGCTAGGGGCTTTGCTAGACAAAACATTGTGACCATCAAATTTAGATCTTTGCCTTTGTAACTCCTTAGGGAGGCTGTGCCAGTGTCATTGTGTCACTAACTACTCAGTGTCCCCAGGACCTAACACCTTACTCAGGTGAGTTTGTGAGAATTTCAGTGTTGATATTTTTGCATGAGCATGTTTTATGTGACAAGGATATGTGTGTGTTGTCATAAGATTTTTAAAGGAAAAATAATTACATTTCAGGCAACTTTGTAATACTGTGTTTATGATTTACCTTCCTCCCCCTCCCCAACTCTATGCTTGCAGGAAATGGGGGGGTTATCTGATATAGCACATTTTCACTATTTTGTAAATGTTTATTTCTTAGTGGTATAATCTACCATCATGTAGGATGCAATTTATAATTAACTTTATATCAGCATTTTTCCCTTCTTAGGTCAGTGCCTGGATGTCTAATCAGCTTTATGTACCTAGCTGTATTTTACTCCTCCCCTTACAATTTTCTGGGAATAGATGAATTTTCTATTTTGTATCAGTTTAAAGGAGGCAAAGAAAAAGCAGATATTTAGTTCAAAGAACTCAGACTCCTGTGGATTAAATCAGATACTAATTACATAGTTACATTTGTTTTGTTTCTGGGAAGAGATCAGAAAATTAAATCATCCAGCTATCAGATCTTTTTCTTTATTTCTGGTAGGTAAACTTATGAGTGCTTTGCTTAGTGGCCTGACAGATCGCAACAGTGTGATTCAGAAATCCTGTGCATTTGCCATGGGCCATTTAGTTCGGGTAAGTTGAATCTCTTACTTAGTTAAATAAAACTCTAATAATTATGAAGAAATGAATAGAATTCTTTCTTTTTCAGACCTCACGAGATAGCAGCACTGAAAAACTTCTGCAGAAGCTTAATGGCTGGTACATGGAGAAGGAAGGTACTCTCCCCTATTTTATGTGATTTTTTTTTTTAAATTTAGGTTGTTTATTTTTCATTTCAGTGAACATCTACAGAGATTTTGGGATTCCATTCATTCATTGTTGCACCCTTCTCCCCGCACAAACCCCTCTCCCCTCCCCCCCCAT